ATTTGTACAAACATTGTACTAAGGATGACATAATGCATAAAATCATGATAAATGGACTTTTGCATGAAACGTGCTCTTTTTGAGAAAACCATTTAAGACAAGTATAATATGCACTTAAAAGTCAACATATATGTATATAAGTGACATTCAACAGTATGCCATAAGCATCCCTTCAACCCATATAGATGTATACACCTCCCCCAAAGTTTATCCTAAGACCTACATAAGTAAGATAAGAAGAGACGACCCATACACCCTCTTCAGGCCTACCTAAACAATACTTATGACTAACTAAGAAAAGATTGTTCCTGTTTCCTTTAACTTATGCCACACCTAAGGTTACTCCAAGATTCACCTAAGTAGGAAAACAAGAGATAGCCCATACACCCTCTTGAAGCTTACCTAAGTCAATAAGACGAGTCATTCATTAAGGATTTCACATGATGGTCATAGAAATAACTAGGGAACATAGACTCTACCACAATCAAAGCCTACTCGTTCCATATCTAGATAGCCTTGCATTCACGTACCTAAAAGTTGTAGAACTTATCAAATACTAGAATGTATACCATATGATGAGAATAGGCAATAACCGATATATACCATACTAGCTAATCATGGAATCCGGAGTGTACCCTACTCCGATGGAGGGTGTTCTATTTTAGAAGTGTAAAACTAGGACACATCCTATGTAGTAACATGGTTAAGGAATATAAAGGTCTTTTATGAACTCTAGTCTATTTCTCATGTAGAGATACATTTTACTCTTTTCTCCTACTTAAGTAAATCTACAACCCATATCATATTTACTAGGTGCTAGCATGTGTTCTCATAGAGTTTGTTCAATAAAAAGGAACATATGAAAAGGTGACATGTGTTAGTCAATTCCTAGTCATAATGCACCTACAAAAGATAGGTCCATTAGGGATGCCACACAATGGTCTATAAGGATAGCTCATTCTTAACCTTCTTTATAAGAATGTTCCACATATTAGTCATGCTTAGAAGTAATAATCTTAGATATAGCAATACTATACTTTCATTCAACCTTTATCTTCATATCATATACAAGACAAAGGTTCCTAAGCCTACTAGATCAGGATGTTCATATTCACAATGTACATGTATCAGTTAAGAGACACAAGTGTAACACTCAAGAAATTCCATGACTTTAAATAGAGATTAATATATTTTATAATGTTTAAAATGATTATTAAAGATTTATATTAATGTAATAAGTTAATTTAGAAAATATTAGAGTCGGAACAACAAAGAATGACCCTGACGTCCACAAACTAGCTAGTTTTAACTAGTTGACGTACGGTGAAGGTTTTGAAGTGTCAATTTAAGTCAAAAACTTCAAAAGAGACCTTGCATAGGTATTAATTAAAACAAAGGGTCCAAACATCTGGTAAACACACCCCAAGTATCACACAAAGGGTTCTTGGGCAGGACCCGAACATAGATGAGCAGGTTGCCTAGCAGCCTACGAACAAATAGAATTGGAAGGATGGTGCACGACGCACAAACGACATGCAGTCCACTGCCTCTAGAATTAAGAGGAACCCTCATGATGTGAGGCTGACATGCACGTCATTTCCTCAACCTAAAATTTTAGAAAAATGACGGGATTTGTCCCTGCTAAACGCAATTACTTTCCAGAATCGTTAAAGTTCTATTTTTGGTAATTTAACTTCATTTAAAGACCCTTTTAAGTGGAGGGTCTTTTGAGTATGTTATAGGAAGACTATATATGTATTATAGGTCAGTTTTAGACCAGTTTATACACGTCCAATCAAATTCAAAGACAATTACCCATCTCTCTCATCAAAACATCACTTTGGTAAACTCCATTGCTGAACAAGAAGATCCTAAGGAAGAAGAGGAAGGCTTTGATGTTTCCAATAAAATTTTGTGAATTATTCGTCAATAAGGTAGAGTTTTTTAACTCCTGGGATTCATTTACCCAAGAGGTCCCTTTCAGAGATAGTTTTTTAAGATATTCAGATACTATGCTTTTTACACTACACAATAGACTTTCTTCCTAACTCTTGATTTAGGAATTTTTGATGAAAAGTAAATGCTTTCTACGGTATATTTCCCACGAATTAATGAGTATGTGGTTAGTAATGTTTGAATTTTTTGTGAAGCAAGTGCTTATTTAGATTATATTATCTTATAATTGTGTCTACTTAGTATATGTATGAAAACATTGGTATTGGTACTATTACATGAATGAACTCTTTAATTACCCTTTTTCCTTATCTCACATTATGAATTTGATCTTTTATATGATTTCCACAAATGTTCTTGTTTATGATAATGAGTTTTTCACTATTTTATGGTTATGAATGTTGTAGTTTGAATTTAATAGCATGAATAAGGTTATTGGAAGCAATAGGTATATCTTCTAAATGTTGTTATTACTCTATGTTGGATATGTTAGCCCATAATGATGTTACAATTCTATTGATTTATGTGTGATGTTTCTATAAATATACATGGGAATCTAAAAAAGTTAATTTTGAGATCATGATAAGAATAAGATAATGCTAGTTATGTTATTCTCTTGTATACTTTACAAAAGATGATTATACTATGTTAATCTCACAGACAAAGGGGGGCGATGAAAGGAAATTCTCACCTAATTTTAAAGAAATTATGATCATGTTTATACAAGGAGTTAATCTCCATTGACCTATGATACGTCTATGCTAAAATAAAACTTAAAGATTATACAAAATAAGGACTTAAGCGAAGCACCGATGAACAAGATATGAGAGGTGTCCCTTCCCTAGATTAAAGGTAGGTCACAATAACTCGAATGAGAAAGAGGATTAAATGTAATGTGGAAATATTGGTCTCTCCTACATATCCTGGTACTTGTACTATGTAGCAAACATAGGATACTACCTTGTGGATCCACCTACAAAGTTATGTCCTGTTTTGTTCAACTTTGGCTTGTAGACCACCTTCTTTCGGTGTAGGGTTTTATGACACCGGATTCCAAATTTTACTCACATGGTTTACGTTGGTTAAGGTGAATGTTCCCTCTTGTAATATGAAAGACAAGTAAATGAACGTTGACTAGGGGTACTTAAAGAGTCTACATAGTATATGTAGGGGAACGAGACTCTACCTAGACATTGCAAAAGTTAACTTTAAGGGAAGTCATAGAAGATTATTCTTGTGTAATAAGATAATATGAAAGGTATATTTTTATGATGAATTAGTTAATCTAATATGATGTTGGTCATTATGATGGATATGTTATTGGGTTATATCATTAAATGATTTGATGACTACTTATGTTACAAGTAATATGAATCAATGATTTACTCATGGTCTCCTGTCTTATCTACTTGTTTGTGTGGGGTTATGGTGCTTCACATGACCATTTCACTTGTAGGTTGGGGGATGATATCACTTGTTAGTGTTTTGTATGTTATGTATATGTTACCTATTGAATATTAATGTTAACACGACTATATGATTTGTGTTATTGATTATGACCATGTTTTATGTTGATGAAGTCCTTAACTTTTATGTCTTTTGGTATATTCATAGAACACATTCACATCACTTAGCATGCTTTCTAAAGGTATGATAATTGATCTTTTTTCATGCATGTCCTTAAATATTATGCATATACCCATACTTAGTACATGTGGCATATTAACCCCAAACTTTATATTACTACAAATGTAGGGTACGACATTTGATGATTAAGAAGGTCAATTAAAGAAGATTGGAACTCTTTCTACAAGTGTTTGTATGTCCTCATGTTTGGGGATTCACTCTTTTATATTTCTTATTATCAAGGCATTAGTAGATTTTAAGAATATTCTATTTACATTTATGTTCTTTGGAATCGTTTGTATTAGGGCCTAAATGGAATATGTAATATTTATTATTTAACTCAAGATTCGTACTCTTTAGATGGTTTTATATATGTTGGACAAGTTTTTAGAATATCGTATGCCATTATTAATGTTATGTATGAAGTCTAAGTATACTTCAAATAGAATGTAATAGTTTTAATTTTCCTTAATTTTAAGTTAATATATGTTATGATAATGCTAAGGGCTTGCCTTGATCCTCTGAGAGGACGAAGTTGCCGGTTACATCTAGCTATGGGTGTGACAAATTTTGTTTGAGAGCATGAGGTTAAATATCCTTAGTAACAATTTCTCACTAAACCACATTAACTAGTTTCTTCCTCATAATTGTTAAACGTGCCACAATTGTGGATGAGTCTTTTTCTTAACACTAGTATGCCATGACTTCAGAGTTTTGACACTATGTGTCGTTTATATTGAATGCACTTGTTGCTGTTATAGGCGATGAACACAAGAAGGAAAGCAATGAGAAGAGTACGAGAAGAGATGGCGAATGCGGGAGCTAATCTACAAGGCAATCAAGTTCCTCCTCAAGTGCAAGCTGTTGCAAATAATCAAGTTTCGGTAAATCCTTCGGCCATGACAGATGGTGAAGTGAGGGCAGCACTCTTCCAAATTTCCTAAGATGTCACTACCCAATGTTAATCCATCATGGCTCAACCTAATCAGGAAGTTGTTCCTCGAGAGAACCAACATACAAGTACTATGTCTAGCCGTTTGAGAGATTTAACGTGAATGAATCTTCACATGTTCTTTGGATCAAAAGTTGATATGGAGCACCAATATTTCCTTGATGAGGTGTAGAAGATTTTGTTTTCTATGGGTTTAGGTATTACTGAGAGGGCTGAGCTTTCTTCTTATCAGCTCAATGATGTGGCAGATCAGTGGAAGGATAGTACGCTTAAGGTGGTGGTTTCATGATTTGGGACATCTTTTACAAGGCCTTTCTTGACAAATTATTTCCAATTGAACAAAGAGAAGTTAGGGTAGATGATTTCATCAAACATCGCCAGGGAGGTATGTGTGGCAAAGAATACTCCTCATTGTTTATTAAGATGTACAAATATGCTTCTTTTTTGTTTTTCTAATGCTAGGAACGAAATGAGTCGTTTTGCAACCAGAGTCTCCGAAGATCTTCAAAAAGAATGTTGTGCAGCCATGCTTAATAACAATATGATTCTTTTTGGGATGCGGTTTCATGCTCAAAAGGTTGAGGGAAGTCAAGTAAGTAAAATGAATAAGGAAGCTAAGAGGGCAAAGTCTTCTGAAACTGCTGCTCATAAAAGTAGTCTTGATGTTCAAGACAAGCCTAAGGTCAAGAAGAGGTTTACAAACAAAGTTCTGTCAAATGTCTCAAACAATCACAAACAAGAGTTTTAATCCTAAACAGGTTAAAGGGAGTAACGTTGATCCACCAAGAGAAAGACCATCTTGTGGTAAGTGTGGTAAGAGACATTTGGGTAAATGCCTTGTTGGAACTAATAGTTCTCATGGTTGTTGCAAAGGTGTCCATGTTGTGAAATATTTTCATAATGTGAGAATCAAAAGTTAGGGGAATATCCAAACTCAACCAAGTGGTCCTAGTTATGAAGATCCAAAAAGGAACATTTTCGATGCACTGAAGTCTATAGTGAACAATAGAGCTCTCCCAATGTTCTGATGGGTATGTTACAAGTTTTTTTTAATGCTTATGCTTTGTTTGACCCAGGTTCTACCCTTTATTTTGTTACACCTTTGGTAGCTAGGAAGTTTGATGTACCTCTCGATGTTTTTATTGAACCATATTCTGTTTATACCCCAATGGGTGACTCTGTAGTTTCAAAAAGAGTCTATATGAAATGTCCTTTGATGCTGCTAATAGAGTTACTCTAGCTCACTTAGTACAACAGGGCATGTTTGATTTTGATATTATTTCGGGAATACATTTACTTCATGATTGGTTTACTTCCATAGATTGTAGAACAAGGTTAGTGATGTTCCGATCCCAAATGAACCCATTTTAGAGTGGAAATTGACTTTGAGATTGATTTATTACTTCATATAAATCCCATTTCAATTACTCCATATAGGTTTCAGAATTGAAAGATTTGAAGCTCCAACTCAAAGATTTACTAGACCAGGGTTTCATTCAACCAAGAATTCGTTCATGGGGTTCTCCGGTCTTATTTGTTAAGAAGAAGTATAGGTCCCTTCAAATGTGTATTGATTATTGCCAACTTAATAATGTCACCATACAGAACAAGTATCTTCTCCCTAGGATTAGTGATCTATATGATCAAATCCAAGGTTCTAGATACATTTTGGTGATTGACCTTAGGTTGGGATGTCAAAAACTCAGGGTGAGAGGTGAAGATGTTCCCAAGACAGCTTTTTGAAGTAGATATGTTCACTATTAAAGGCAGCCCACCTTCCGATTATCTTGGGCCGTCCTGGCATGGGCTTGAGTGGTGATGGCCTGTGGTTGTGTGGTAATGGCTTGGTCCATTTAATTAAAAGAAGCCCTTATGTCAGCAGTCGTAATAGGTGGAGGATTGTTCGGAGCTTGGACATCATTAGATTCTTCTTCAAGAGGAGGGACTTGATCACCACGGGGAGGATCTCCTGCATTGTAAATCACTTCGTCAAGTTTTCATGTCGCATTCCTCCGAGTATACTGATACGCACAAAATTACTTCTCAAATAAGAAGTAAAGCGGTCGTGTCAAGTGAATAACCCAATTAGTGAGGTTGGGATCGTTCCCACGAGAAAATAGTTTAGACATAACTTCAATCTATTATTACTATTGTTCAGTCAAATAATTCCTTGAGAAGTAAAAACAATAAAGGGGGGGTTGTATTTCTAAATGAATTAAAATAACTAATGAAATTGAAACACAAACTTAACAGCTTTGAATGTTGGAGTTTAATCATTTAATCAAAGTAACTAGCGTTTACGTGTTCCCACCGGTTCATAACATGATAATTTTAACTATACAGTTCTTTCCTAGTATCTTGCATGTAAAGTGATAAGTTATGTATTTCTAAATCTTTGGTCCAGCATCTAGGAAACCTCACTACGTACCTTGGTCCTGCTACTTGTGTTTTTATCCTAAACCTTATGTTTACCTCATATTAAGCATCGTATTCAATATTTGAGTAAGTTATTACCTCGTACCAATCAATACTAGCCTATTAGATAGTATACACAAAATCTATGTTGATAATTCTTTTCCTATTATCTACCGCCTTGGTCCGGCAAGTAGCATTAAGGTGACTTCTAACGTTGGTCATCCGTTAAAAAGATTTCTAAGCGAAAGAATTATTAATACATGTAAGACATTATTCTAGAATTATTATTTTAGTTAGGTTTTACCTCATTATTTGCCTATGGTTCCCATTACCCTAGTTATGGGTTTAGTTACCCATAGTCATAATCACAATATTCAAATATATTATATAATAATTCATGTACTTACATCAATAAGAAAGAGTAAAATCAAAAAGTTTGCTTGATTAATCACCAACAATCAGTTGCAAGAATTTCAAAGTAGTCAAGAATCTCACAAAAAGTCTAATGACAATCAACAGTCTAACAATACAGTGTCTAACAATATGGAGTCTAACCTCAAAAACAAGGTTTTTTCGAACTATTTATAGAAAATAAAAACCTAATCAAACAAGGACTATATTTGTTGGAAATCTGTCAAAACGCGGCTGGGTCGACGACGGGCCGTCATGGACTCCGTCGTCCTATACTTGTGCAATTTCTTCTGCTGCTCTCTTCATTACCCTCGACGGCATGTATGACGGACCGTCATAGGCATAACAGTCCGTCGAGGGTCTTTGTTTCAAAACACTTAAAACTCTAGGAATATGGGTAATGAGACTACTTCTCTTAACTTCATGACGAATCTAAAGGACGGACCTTCATATACACTACGGACCGTCATGGACTCCGTAACCCCACACTTTGTAAAACTTAACCTTCTTCCTTCAACAGCTGCACTACGCTGCCACCTACGGACCGGCCCAAGCTCCGTAGCAGGTCTATTCTGCATTTCATTGCTCAAAAACTCCGAATTCATCTTTGAACAGATTTCCTGCATATAAGAAGAATCTTATAAAAAATTTAGCACATAAAGGCTTTTGGACAGACTAAACTTAAGGAAAAAATATTAATAATACCGTGAAACCACGGGATATCAACACCCTCAACTTAAATTCATTGCTTATCCTCAAACGACGCACTATGACTCAATACAAAATCTTTGTACAATAGTATCCATGTTTTATCCTTTACAATCATTTGGCTATCAATCCCGATTAATCTCATCATATTTATGCATGCTATCACTATTAGGCTTGAATTATGTGGGATCATTGCATGACACAAATTCACCATGCACTACCACCTATCCTCTTCAATATATCACCTAGGTGCTAAAAATTACGGTATCGCAACTCTTGTCCTCACTTTAAAAAAAATCCTCATTTTTCACACAATGATTTCAGTTTGAGTATAAGGATTACTTTTCAACACTTGATCTCAAAACAAAGTCACACTCATTCATACCTATTGCCATAAGCTTGCCCTTATTTTCACTGCCTTAAGTTCACTATACAACCCTTAGGATCACGATAGGACTTTCTTATCTTGTAACATAGGCTCAGGGTCAGGTAGGGTATATTTAGGTATACTTTAGTAACTTTTTTCCGTCGACATATCAGCTAAACATACAATTTTCTATCAATTTATCGCGACCAGTTTCTCATATTCTTTCACCTTGCTAATATCTATTCTTTCTTCATATGTGTAAGTGACTCTCTTCTTTTCTTGCTTGTATTTCTTGTATATTTTTCTTTTTCTTTACTTTTCTTTCAACTAATTATTGAGTAAGTTTACTTTTGTTCTTTCTCTCTCTTTGTTCTTTCAACCACACTTTCCAGAGCATTCCTCATAATAGACACCCTCAACTCATGGCTTTGCCATGAGTCAAGATACACAATACCCAAAGTTGGGTCAGGGCCATAACGCAGGTTGTTACTGCATTATCTATCCTCAACATATGCGTTAGGCGTAAGAGGAGGTGCACATGTCCAAGGAGGGACCAGGGCCAACACATTATTCTATAAAAGATCAGTTGGGGTGAAAAAGAGAGGTCTAACTTAAGCTCTGATCATTTGGATCAATGAAGGATAAATTTCATTAGGTTTTCTTTTATTTAGGCTAAAAATGTGCTATATTGAATAAGAGCCTATGATCCTTTCCTAATTGTCTAGTACAACTTACTTTTAGCAGGACTAACCAAGCAAGTTCTAGCTCAGTACAAATAGTTGACTATTAAAATCTTCCTCACACACACTTGATATCTCATCACTCTACCAGATTTTCAGACACCTTGTTCGAATTTTAGACTTAGGGTAATGCAATGGTGTACATTATTGTCATGCTTAGAGCCCTACATTTATCAGTTACTATGCTTAGATGTTCATCATTTTCCAATTTATCAGGATATCATTTCAGTAATCATGCTCCAGAATTAAACTATGTACAAAAGATATAGACATGCCGGTTCAACAGAAAAAGTAATCAGTGTCTTGGGGAAAAAGAACACAGGCAAGAAAACCCCAAAAGAGGATAATGAATTGGGCTACTCAGACTTCACCCTAGCAGTCACTTTCCATTTACCCCACCCCCAACAAAAAAACATGCAATTGTCCCCAATTCATAAAAATTGACATACTAGAGTGGTAGGTGAAGCAAACCTGTGTCACAAAACGCCGACGATTAGAAAGCTGGTGGGCCCGGTTCCTCAGAACCCACGTCCTCTGTAATCTGGACACCCTTAGTGGTGTCCTCAGCAAAAATAGCACTATCAGCAGTGCCTCCCACTATGTCCACAGATCCGAGGCTGGACGACCCAGCCGCTAACTCTCTTGCTCTCATATGGTGCGCCTCCTTCTCAGCAAGTGAGGCTCTCCTCGCAGCCTCCATCTCACAGCGCTCCTTCTTCCGAGCTCGCGCCTCTTCCTCTGATCGACCCCTACCCCTCTTGACATTCTCTCGAGGGGGAGGTGGTGGAATCATTGTGGTGGGAAATAGGGCCGCCAACAATGTGTCTTCAGCAGGCTCGACATAAAGGGCCTCAGACTCAGGCACCGTAGCCTATAAGATCGAGTAAATATCTGCGTGAAGACTGTCGACCGCAGCCTGGAGAGACGACACATCCACAGGATGGGGTGGCCAGGCTAGCACCCGCAACTCAAAAGCGTCCAAGCACTGGTGAACCTCAACGATCTTCCCTCTGTGTACTTGACCATTTTCCGCTCCAAGAGCACTTCTGCCTCGCTAATAGGCATTTGCATCCACTGCTAGATATGTTACAGAAGTGTAGCCATTTGAGCTGGACCAGCATGGGTAGAGGGGCTGTGCGAGACAAGCTCGGGGCAGTGCTACTACCCGAGATAGACTCGACCAGGGTAGTGTCTGTGGACGCCGCCTTCATAGACATGCAGGCCTAGGCTACCGTATCTGAAAGATCGTCAGCAAGTAGGGGAAGCTCAGGACGGGGCCCTCTGCGTGGAGCCAACTCATTGGCCTCATCTATGATGATGCGGACATCAATTGTTACCATAGGGGTCTTGAGCTGATCAACGTTCCATATAGGCACACCTGCGGACTTGCAGAGAGAAAAGATCATGCACGGGAAAAGTTAAGTAGTGGTGACCTTAAAAGCCCTCTCGTGCATGACTGCCTGTAGAAGCCACGCAAAATCTACCTCAAACCTGGATATCATCGCCGCCATCAATACTGCTCTATCCCATGTAACGATATTATCAGCGGCTGTGAGGGAAAGGCAGTGAAGGACAATCAACCACAAGAACTTCGCCTTGAAAGTGAGGTTGACCTTCTTGATGGCCCCTTTTGGCTCGGTCACCCTCTTCATCAACTGACAGGTGCAGGTCCATCCACCTCTTAGTGGTCTCTCTCAGCGATGGCTCGAGTAGGAACTGGCCATTTTTAACAAGCTGTCATCGGTAGTAAAACTCGACAGTGAGAGTGTTCCGAGTAGCATCAACACCCTCGCCGTATAGAAACCGGTAGATGGTAGGCAGGGAAATATCGACCTTAATGCTCCGTTGTGCTGTCCACTCCAGGCGATGTCTTGTGAAGAGATTGTGGATCTCAGGCATCGTTGGGAGACTCTCTGTATGGACCCGCCGCTTCAATTTGAGTGTTCGAGTCATAACTCCTTTGACATTCAGGAACATGGCGTCGGAGTAGACTTTAAATTGCCCGTCGACATACAACCGGTTGGGCTGGTCAGTAGCCGGGGTGAGGGCATGAGCTGGTGAAGCTTATGTGGATTCCAAACTGTCAGCCTCATCAGACGAGG